GCCGCGTTCTTTCGAAATTAAATCGAAAGAACGCGGCTTTTCTTTCGACGGCGGTAAACCTCATTTCACGAGGAAGAACGCCTTCTTTCGAAAGTGCTTCTTTCGAAAGAAGGCGTTCTTGAATGTAAATAGGGCTTCTTCGAAAGAGAGCATCCAGACTCACTGGGTGCTTTCTTTCGAAAAAGCGGCTTGCTCTTTCGAAAGTTCCGCGTGCAGTCTAGACGCTCTCTTTCGAGAGAGGCTCTTTCGAAAGAGGCTTGCAGTCTAGACATAGCCATATAGACAAAGCCTCAGAGGAGTATCATTGGGCAACAAATTAGAGACTTTCCTCAGTTTCCAGAATGCAGGAAAGTTTGTTTTCTAGCTGCTGGTCTCCAACTAATCAAAATTACTGCAAATTATTTGACTTGCACAGCTCAATATAAAAAAAAAAGGCAGAAAACAAACAGCAATATCTCAGGTTTGCAATACACTAACATATTCAGGATGTGTACCATGGCAAACTTAATGTACAAGAATCAATGTGGCAAATACAAACATGATATAATTCTACCTGGTGCTTTTCCTGAATACCTATGCTTGGATTCTTCAACCACGGTATTACATTTAACACATGCCTTTATAAATTCAAATATTAGGGACTTCATTAAAGTGTTGCAGTGCTGAGCACCAACCTAAGCAACCTGGGTATTCCCAATGGATACTCTAACTAGTAAATCTGAACCCTTGACTCTCCAACATGTTAATGGAAAAAATGACACCACTTCAAAGCGCAGGGAAATAAAATCTGTTAGCTAATGGCAAGATAATTAACATGCAAATTCAAGATCACACCGAATCCAGATTAAGCTCAGAAATGAGACCTGGAATAGACTTCATTCTCAATTCACAACAAATTACAGTAATGTCTCTGGGTTGTTAATGAGATGCAGCATGGCTTTGAAAACCAAGCAGCACACAGAAAATTAAAACATTGGTCCAAATTCAGCAGTTGTGCTTTGCCACTGATTTAACTGGAGTTACGTCACAGATGAACTTGACCCATGTAAAATAATTAGCACCATTCTCCCTTCATTCATATAGAATATAAAATAAACTTGCACATTATGCTTCTAAGAAAACTGCATGAGACACAAATGCAGGGGAAAGTTAATGATTAAAAGTAAGAGTAAAACCAGAAGACAAACTAGCTGGACTAATCCCAGACAATACCATCTGTAGTTTTACAATCATTAAGCAGCAAGTTCTTCCAATAGATGCCCTAGGAAAGACTGCTAACTCTGGGGGAAAAAAAGTTAAAAAACGAGTGATCCTGTAACAACAACAAAGCTTAAAATAAGTGGTCTATATTTTTTTTAAGTTACAGACTAACACAACTACCCCCCTCTGAGACGGATAACTCTGAAACAGCCAGAAGCTACTGATAGAAAAAATAATACACACTTCAGAAGAATAGAGACTATGAAGCTGCCAAGAACACTACAATGGCAGCAGCTGACTGACACTAGAGCAGACAGAAGGAAGAAGGGGTGCACATTTAACAAGGCCAGCAACAGAAGGATGCCAAGTGAGTATTGCAAATGAATGTGTACATGTGCTAATTTTCTTTATAGCTGTTATTTTTAACCAGAACAATTTCTGTCAGCAGCAGTCTGTGTATTCATGAGACCACATCTGGACACTTGCAAATCACAGTATGATACCAATCTACAAAACTACAAGCAAGAAGGACATCCATCTGTGTAGTCACGTATAATGAGGAATCGTGAAAATGTTCATTTGTTTAAGGATCCCACCCAAAAAGCAGTGGTTTTTAGGCTACAGGGAAAGAAAAATGAAGAAAGGCAGACAGGAGAAAAGGTATAAAGTTAGGATAATTGTATCCTATTACAGTAAAACTCCAGTTGTCCAGCATCCAGTGGTTCGGCACTCCTGCTAGTCCAGCACCACCTGGAACCCAGAAGTGCTCCAGGCAGTTGGACAATTGGAGCTGCTCTGTGCCGGGCTTCCCCGAGTCAGCCGCTGGTCAGTTTCAGCAGCGGCTGACTTGGGGATGCCCAGGGCAGAGCAGCTGGGGTGCTGCTGGGTTGGTCCCGTAGCCTGCCCCAGGCTTCCCTGAGTCAGCCGCTGGTCAGTTTCAGCAGCGGCAGACTTGGGGACGCCCGGGGCAGAGCAGCTGGGGTGCTGCCAGGTTGGTACCGCAGCACCGCCACCCCCCCATCTTCCCCTCCCCACCCCAGACCCCTCATAGCCTCCCCTTTCGATAGTCTGGCATATCTGATAATCCAGCACCCCCTGGGTCCTAAAGGTGACGGATTATCGTAAGTTTACTGTACATTGTATTTGCTATATCAAATCAAAAAGTTTAAAATGTGCTATTTACAGGTGTCCATTCTCGTTTTAAATGAGAATGGACATTAATCCAGTTGCACAGCCTTTGCTATTTGCAATTTAAAATCTTACTGTTAACTAATTTGCTAGACTAGCATGAGGTTATGAACAGGAAGCATTAGACACAGAAGAGTATGAAATGTGTCCCTGCTTGTTTTTTTCCTGTGTATGGTATCAGAAAAAGGCATGAGATTTCCTTTGCTTCTGCTCCATGGTCAAACTCACCAGATCCAGAATTCTGAAGCCAGTACTGACTTGCAGAGTTTTGTCGTCACACACTCATACATAACTCTAGGATGTGAAGAATGGCAACGATATGAGGGCTAGATGTAAAAGTTTGAAAGTCACTTGTTTGAAAGATGCCCTTTTAGACTAAAGAAACTGTATAAAAATAAGAAATGCCAATAATTTTTGTAAAAACTGTCCAAGTCGTGGAAAAACATTTAACTATATCCACGGTACTACTCCTACCCATGTACCATCATACAAATCTTATTTGGAAATATTTGCATGGTTACAAGCCTTTCTGACATTTTTGCTGACAAGTATTCTATTGGCATTATAGCACTGAGATGCATGAATGGTTTAACTTTCTATTGTGAAACTCACATGAACATATGACATGAGCTTCCTAAATTACTTTGTAAAGTATAGTCGCTATACTAAGCAAAAAAAAAGGATAAAAATCAGATTGTAGACCAGAGTTCATTTGTATGAAAGGTTCCCCCCTTAAAACTCAGGCAAAATGTTTAGTAGTAGAATTAATTAATTTAAAATTAAGCACTCAAATCCATATCTAGGGCCCACAAATTCCCTGTAAGTGGCTTAAAGTTTCAAAAGTGTCTATGGATCTAGGAGACTAACTTTAGCTACCAATGTATGATGTTAGCTTAAGTATTATGCAATTAAAACAAATCTAGAAATTGGAAATAATATTTATAAATGGCTGAAATGTTTTAATACAATACAGCACAGTGGTTGACTGCTCCTTCTGCCCTTAGGATATCACAACACCCAAAGTATTATCCAAGACACACATGCCAGATAGTAGATATGTTCCCCACTCCAAGCCTTGGTGCTGCAGAGACGTTGTCTTGGGCAGTAGAGGAAAGTAAACACTGGTGCACCTGTAAGGATTACTGCATTCCTTTTCCACTCTATGGGAGATCAGCTTTATTATGGGCATCTGGGACACAGGGGGTTCCTAACGGATTGGCTGAGTGGAAGGTCACATCAGAAACCCACTAGCTGCCACACCTCTAGGAACAAGTTTTTATAACTCCTTTTCCCTGACTCAGGAACTGTTCTGCATTTGGGAGCAACAGCTATCATCCTTTCACCCTTTGGGAAAAGTGTGTGATTAGGTTTCTAGTTCTTACAGTGGGCATCATATTAATTGCTTTTGGCCTGGAAAGAATATTTCCCTCACTGCCAGATCAGCCTGCATGGAGTGAGGCTTATTCACCTTACCTTCAGCAACCCAGGACCCAAAAGCTGAAGTCAGTTGTAAAGTTTATGCAGTATGCCAGATGTCCAGCATAAATCTGGTTCCTCAATAAACTGAAACTGGATTAGGTAATCTCCAAAAGGTGGTGAGAAATGGGACTCCTACTGACTATTACGACGGGTCAGCCCCTCTTCCTCCTCCTCATTAACCACTGTACACGGCAGTATGGGGACCCAGCAACCGTGATGGGAGCAGCTTAAATGGGTTGAAGAGAATGGATAAAAGCAGCCCTCAGCAGTTGGTACTGATTATGGAAAGATGATTTACATTGGATAAGTTATCAGATTCCCAGATGTGGCTCAACTAGGCCACAGCTTTATTAACACATTACTGGACAAAAGAAACATGCAAGAAGAAAGCTACATAAATAGATTTTGTACAAGTTACTAGAAAATTAATGGTTTTTCCTCTCTCAAACTTCAAACCTCTATTCAGCATTCATTCAGAAACTGTTTACAGTCAAGCTTGTTTTCCAACTTTAAGGCACAAAAGCAAAAATGGCCAAGTGCCTCCAAACCATGGAAGCAGCTGCTCCTACCCAACTTACAGGAAATAGCAAGAAAAGTGCGCAGCATGAGACACATCTGGAAGAGATTGCATAGTCTTTGAAAATATTGTCCCAATTCCTTTCCTCCTGCTGATGAGATTTCAGGCTACTGAAGTGCTACATGAACTACAGACGATTAGATAATATGTAGGCTTCAACTATACACGTTATTTGTGTCAGAATAAATGGCGAAAATTGTCATGCTCATCTGGAAATAAATATCCTGATTCAGAAGAAAGAATATGGTAAAATGTAGTGGAATAAACAGAAAAATATCAATCTTCCAATTGATTTTTAACTTGGGAAAACTGGTATTTACTGTATGAGGTGACAAAGGTAAATTATAAGGAAATTAGCAATATGTGCTTTTTGTGTTTGTACTAAGTAAGTTACATAATAAAGACTGGAATGAAGGGAGAGAGTAAATACAGAACGCTGGGATTCATACTCATTTAGCAATAAATTTACTTGTATTACATGCTCACATGACACGCATGAATACTAAAATGTGTTAATTCTCTAATGTAAGGTGCAAAACATAAAAGAAAAACATAATTAGCAAAACAAAACAATGTTTTATTTGCTTTTTTTCATAACGACAATGAATGCAAAAAAAAAAACAGTTGAAATTCATGGGGAAATGCAAATAAACTATTAAACAATGATTTTTTTTTCAAGAAAAGCTAGGGAGTTTTCCCCTGACATGTTAGTCTATATTCATTTTTCTTTTAAGTAGTTTTGCAAGATTAAGAATAATGAATGTGACCAGTTAATATGCTTTTTAAAAAAAATTCAGTTATTAGATACAAAATTGAATATAACACTAACTTAAGACAATAAATCTCATTCTTTTAATGTTGGTATTAAAACCAAGCAAAGCTCTAATTAAAATAAAGGAACAGGAAGAAAAAAATAAATGTTTTTCAAAGATGTAAAATATACTGATTACTGATTGCAAGTAAGATTCCAGTTGTATTAAAGAATTAAGAGCGCTATTCTCCCATTGTGGTAGAAGCATAACTCTCACAAACAGTAGGAGTTATGTATGTACATGAATAGGAGAATCTGCCCTTCTAGAGATGATATATTTTAAGGAGTAATACCGTTACTTTTAAGTAAATACTATCAAGAGAGCTTTGTTTTACTTTTGCCAGTACAGCCTAAAAAAATAAAACACCCATGAAGAAAAAAAGACATTTCAAAAGTGACATTAAAATTTACTCATCAGCTTCATTCTAATGTAACACTGGAGTATTTATTCTCAAGAAGCATCGTAAGACAGCTACAAAAGCCCTTTTGAGAAAATTACAACATAACAAATTGTGTCTCTCTTACATAAAACCTTCTTAAGTAAGATGATCGTTACAAACCAAGGAACTGATCTGCAATTGCATCTATGCAGAAGCAGAGGTCCAACTACAGTTGGACACATGCAGAGTGATGCCCTGATGGCCCAATGCTTGAAAGGGTTGGAGCTCCTCTCACAAGCAATAAGACTATCCATACAAGTATGTGTTTTCAGGTTTAGGCTCAAATTGTTCAAATCATACCAGGAGAAAACTAATTCTTCAGATGGACATTTAAAGGCTTTTGCCCTCTTTTAGAATTATATCTAAAATAAAATTATACTTGAACATTCAAATTAGCAAAAAAATAGTGTATATATACATTGTCCATATTAAGATTAAACACAATTTACAGTGAATGAGAAAATATTGTGGTTACAAATATATTTTGACATAATTCCTAAGAAGCAATCTAACCAGTCATCTATGCATAGTTATTTACACAGGAGCTAGAAGGGGTGTTTCATTTTTAAATCAATTGATATTTTGGTCAGAAAGTTTGATAAAAAGTTCATCAATACAGGCTTATAATAATCAGGAACTGCAAGTTTTAGTAAATTTTATAAGAAATATGTATGTTGCACAATCATTAGATGAACCTAAATTACATAAAAAGCTAACAAAGTCAGACCTGGTTAATCTGAATCATTTAGTATATACCATTTTTACTCTCAATTTAACTTCAGATAACCAAGACAGTGGTACATACATTCTATGAAACTAACTATCACTTAAATCTTTCACAAACAACAAGCACAGATTAACCATGTCTGACTGTACTTAATCTATCACCCGACTGTATGCATGGTTTGTTCTCATTTCAATCTTATCCTTTGTTTTTGCACATTTGTATGTGCGCTAATTAAAGGCAATACTGAATATAAATATTTGCTAGAATGAACAGAACTGGCACTTAAACAAAAACCATCCTGTCACTCATTTTTGAAGCTGTATTTTTTTCTTCACTAATCTGTCTTCTGTTTTTAGTAGTCTTCTATCCTATTAACTTGGAGGGTTACTGATCATCTGGAAATTTCACATTGGTAAAGGGAAGGAATGTCTGGTTGATGCAGTCTGGAAATAAAGAAAGAATATTACTTCAGTTCAGGCTAATTACCTGTAAACAATGCTGGAGGTTGGGAGGGGACGCAAGGTTATACAGAGATAGTGCAGCAACTCCCCTCCCCCAAATCAGGGTAATTAAGCAGATGACAAGATTTTTTTTTTAAGACTGTTAGAATACTTTGCAAGGTGCCTCTCTCAGCTAACATTGACAAATTAGTAATTCTGTCTAGTGCAATAATCCCTTCTACTAAATGAATAAAATTCACTGATTTATGTACACATTTGCTTTGATTGTGTGATTATTTCAATTTAATACATAAAACGTTTGAACAAATATTAAGTCTCTCCAGCTTTGGAAGAGCTTCTCCTCTCCTCTCCCCCACCCCGTACTCTCTGAGGGTATGTCTACACTTGCACCCTAGTTCAAACTAGGGATGCAAATGTAGGCATTCAAAATAGTTAATGAAGCAGGGATTTAAATATCCCGTGCTTCATTAGCATGATCTTGCCAACACGTTACTCTGATCAACAACTGTTTTGAAAGTGAAAGTGCGCTCTGGGACGCGTTAGTTCGATCCAAACCCCTTGGTTTGGGGAGTAACGTTACTCCTCAAACCAAGGGGTTTGGTTTGACCTAACGCGTCCCGGTGCACACTTTCACTTTCGAAACAGCTGTTGATCAGAGTAACGTGTTGGCAAGATCATGCTAATGAAGCACGGGATATTTAAATCCCTGCTTCATTAACTATTTTGAATGCCTACATTTGCATCCCTAGTTTGAACTAGGGTGCAAGTGTAGACATACCCTGAGAGTATGTCTACACAGCTGAGAAAAACTCGAATCTAGCTATGCAACCTGAGCTACATCAATTGTATAGCTGAAGTCAAAATAGCTTAATTTGACTTTTGGTGCTGTCTACACAACAGGGAGTCAAAGGAAGAACATGAGGGTCACAGGAGTCAGTAAGTAGTAAGAAGTCCTCCAGCTCACCATTATTTTGAAATAATGGCTTGCTGTATGGACGTGTACTATGTTATTTCAGAATAATGCTGCTGCGTATATATAGCCTGAAAGGTCAAAGGTTTGAGGACAAATACAGCACCCACTGAAGCTAACTCCCTGACTTCAGTGAGTGCTGCATATATCCCTCAGCTTTCATCCTATATTAGATTTTGGTCTCAGATGAAAGAATCATAGTCCAAGCCACCCTTCTTCAAGCCAGTATGTTCAGACACAATGTGGGCAGTTAATTTTTAGTGCCCATAGGTTTTGATCGTTATATGCCTGCGCGTATTTTTATTCAACGCCATAACGTAATTATTTAGTAAAGAGATAGTATATGTTTTCATGCAGCATTTACTATACTTTTACTTACTCTGTAAAGGTGGTTGTATTGCTCAGAAAATGAAAGATATGCTATTGCTAGGAAAAGAATAAAATATTGTAGTGTGGACACCACCAAAATTTATTTGACATTTAAGAGTAGCCTATCTCTTTAGTATTAAGAATTTGCTTTACCGCTTTACTGCAAAATGCCATGTTTTGACAAAATGACACAAAGTTAAACATAACACGTTGCAATTTTGTTCATGAAGATATATTTCTTGGATCAAGATCTGTAAAGCATAGCCGAAATAATTATTTTCCATATTTTATCAGAATGTGTCTAAATGGATTTTATCATCTTAAATAAAAGACCCATCATTTCTAGACTGTTTCCATCTTTTTCCCTGGACTTCCAATACTGTTCTGCTGAGTATGTCATACTGATTCTACTGCCAATCTTTGAAAAGTCTTCTTTAATAAAGAGCAATCCTATGCCACTTAAAGTTTTTAGTCTCTAAGGTGTTACAGGGCTGCTTGATGTTTTTATAGTTACAGACTAACACGGCTACCCTCCTGAGACTTCTTGATTAAGTTACATATAGTTTCTAAATGAAATAAAAAAGCCCAACAATAAACACTTCAAGTATTCCACAAAATTAGGAAAATACTACAATCAGAGGTGTAAATAATTAGTCAAGTATACGATTAACCATTAGGCCTAGGCTTATCGATTAATCTTCTCAACTACTCACATCCACCCCGCCCCTGCTTCTGGGGGGAGCCAGCGTCAAAAGCCAGTTCTCCCCAACACAGGCTTCATGGTGCTGCCTCGCCCACTCTCCACTGCATCCCATGGAGCAGCCTCTGTCTATGCTGAGCCTGGGCCTGCCCTGGGCAGAGTTTGCTTCATGGTAGGAGTCCCTGTCTGTGAGTCTCTCTTTGTGGCCAGCCTGAGCCACTGTGAACAGCAGCCTCCTCCCCCTTACCCGCCCCTCTGCAGCAGCTTTTGTCTGTGGGGTGCTCAGACCCCATTGGACAGGGACTGCTGCCACCTTGCACTGCTGCCTCTGATATGAGGCAGCAATGTGGGGCAGCAGGCAGCCGGTCTGAGTGGGGAGCTGATTTTTAAACTGGCTTCCCTTACAGACTGGTTCTGCTTGGCACTGCACTGTTGCCTCTGATACTATCAAACATCCCTAACTACAACAGTTACTTGTGAACATGAAGACAGTGTTTAGTAACACTACAGGAGAAGGTGTCTCCCTGTGTTAAGTATGTAACAGAATTCAAAAGATCTACCTAATAGATGAAAAGTGTTACAAGAGTAAAAAGGCATACATGTGCCAGACTGATTAGCCAGCTAACTCAAGGATACACAGAGCATACTGTTAGATATATAATAAATATCTTGGCTCACAAGTGGCTTGGAAACAGTCATATACATAAGTGAATACACATCTATTCCTTACCTCTTCAAAGAAAACTCAGTCAAATGTAATATTCAGATAGCCAATAAGGAAGCACTGACCTGACTGATGAGCCAAATCAGTTCACATTTGCTAATGACTTATCCTGATTGGATGCAGATAGATCATGCAAGATGAACAATTTTAATCTTGATTTCTAAGTTGGTTTTATCTTAAAAACGCTACTTTCAAAATACATACTTGGAAAAAGTATCACCAAATACTTCTAACATGCCTTCAGAATATATGGTACAAGATCCTCTTTTTTGGTGACTTTGGAGAGTTAATGCTCCTTCATTTCAGCTACTCTGTGCTCAAGATTTACCTTTTAGAGACAAAAGTCTTAATGTTTACAAAATTGCTTACCTCTAATACAAGAAGAAAAATCTTGTTCTATGAGCAGCTGCCATGCTTTCAGACATGTTTCTGACTTTAAGGTAATTGACAAACCCTCGGAAGAACAGGAGAAGACCTGAAAATATTTAAAAGAAACATGAGAAATGCTAAGATACCCATCATATTAAAATAAGATAAGAGTCATTATTTGCATAACCCTAATCTTCCACAAACCACCCCTGTGTCTCAAATTTAGTGTCTCATCCCATTATATTTATATATATATGAATTAAATCAAAATGATAAATCAAACATCAGTAAAGACTTTACAATGAATTTCAGGGTACTAAATATTTAAAGTATACTTCTAGCCCAATAAATAAAATGCTCTAGCAGAAAGATATAATGAATGGCAGTAGATGACTGCTGGATGTTTGGACACACGACATTTTTTAGCTAGATAAAGAGGCACAGTGCTGATTAGCACAAGATCTGTTGAGCATTTGTTGTAAATGCATGCTTTTTGGTGCAAGTCATTTAGAAATAAACAGTGTATTTTCCCTCATCATTTAGTTATAATAATTCATAGAGTTATTTATAACAGTAGGTTCAAAATGGTCCAATGGAAGTTATTTTTCAAGTTTCAATGCATAATTAGATGAACTCACTTTCAAATGATGTTGATGACGATTCGAAATTTAATGACAATGACAGACTAGACATTTCTAAAACAAAAAGACTAGGCCACACTATCAAGGAGTATAAGGTAGGTAGATTAGTGGTTCTCAACAGGGGATGTGGACCTTCTCGGGGGCCATGACCAGGGCCAGCATTAGACTTGCTGAGGCATATAGGTAGGAGGCTGAAGACCAAAGTGATAAGCATGGCCACAGTTGGAGTAGTCTCATTCTGAGCCCAGCCAGGGCACTATATACCTGCGGAGCCATATGTCCTAGGATCTGAGACACTCTCAAGCTATGATCATGGGGGCAACTGCGAATTATTGAAGGAGGATGACAGGGCCTAAAACAGTGGTCTCCAACCTTTTTACGCTCAAGATCACTTTTTAATTGTCAGAACAAGCCAAGATCTACCGCCCTATCCTTCCCCCAAGACCACACCCCTTTCTTGAAGCCCCGCCCTCTCTGTTCTCCCCCTCTCCATCACTTACTATCCACAGCCCTTATACACTCTAAGGGTACTGCTACACTGCCGCTTTTTTTCGATTCCTCTGTAGGAAGAGGTTTTCCAACATTTGACCTGGGTAGACTGGGCCAAATGTCAGAAAAGCCCCTTCTTTTGGAAGCCCCCTTATTCCTTGTGGAACAAGGAATACAGGGGTTACCGAAAGAGCATGTTTGCTCTTCCTCTAAAAAAAAGTGGAAGAACAAACGCGTCTCTGGACGCAGAAGAGTTTCCCTGGGATACCTCTGGAATCCTGAAAAACTCCTGCAGTCTAGCCATAACCTCACTGGGTTGAGACAGGATGTGTGGGCTCTGGGGTGGGAATGAGGGATTTGGGTGTGGGAAGGGGTGAGAAGTGCAAGCTCTGAGAAGGAATTTGGGTGCAGGAGGGGCTGCTGGCTCAGGGAGGGTGCTCCAGGCTGGGGAGGGTTGGGGGACTGAGCAAGCCACAGGCTTTTGGGTGGGGGGGG